GGCCGCCACTGAGAAGGACCTAGCCCTTGTAGTAGCATATCGTGCCTCTCGGGGACCCGGAACCACTAAGCGGCTCATGGTCCCCGACCGAAGTGCTCTTGGGGGTATATACGGGGAAAGGCGGTCCCTCAGATAGGTCGGACCCAGGCCATATAGGGCTTTAAAGGTAAGTACCAGCACTTTGAAGCGGATTCGGTATGCTATTGGCAGCCAGTGCAGCGCCTTCAACCCAGGCTTGATGTGCTCCCACCTGGGGAGGCCCATCAGCAGCCTAGCTGCCGCGTTCTGCACCAGCTGCAGCCTCCGGATCAGCAACAAAGGCAGCCCCATGTAGAGAGCGTTACAGTAGTCTAGCCTTGAGGTGACCGTCGCATGGATCACTGTGGCCAGGTCTTCGCGGTCGAGGAAAGGGGCCAACTGCCGAGCCTGCCTCAGGTAGTAAAATGTAGACCTGGCAGTGGCTGCTACCTGGGCCTCCATCGTTAAGGAGGAGTCCAGGAGCACTCCCAAACTCCTAACCTCCGACGCAGGCACCAAAGGTACCCCATCGAAGGTCGGGAGAGGGAGCCCCAACCCCAAACCGTTCCGGCTCAGGCCAAGGACCTCCGTCTTCGCTGGGTTTAGCTTCAACCGGATTGCAGTCCTGGAGAGTGAACCAGGGAAACATTGGGATCATGCACTTCTCTCTCCCCACCCCGCACCGAGCAAGAGAATGAAACTTCTCTTTCATGACAAATCACGTAATCTGGAACCAACAAGCCATAGTTTGCACTCTTCCCCGTGATGCAGAATTCCAAACCCAGAATCCCCTTGCATTGCAAAGAAAAGCACAGGCCATGATTTTTTAATGAAAGCAGAAGACTTTCTTAAGCATGCAAAAAGAGGAGGGACAGGGAGGAGAACATGTGGAGCCCAAGATCTCCTGTGCTCATTCACATAGTGACAAGCCGTGGCTCGTCGTTGTGCCCAATTCCTGCCATGGTGTCTTAGCCTGTGTTGTTGCATTAGCTGTTCCGTCTCACAGGTCCTTGGGGTCGGGTACCAATAGCCATCCTCTAGCTTTTCAGCTCTCATTAACCATCAGCAGTAGACTTGTTTAAACCCCAGCTTTCTGTTCTTCACGAACCGCCACAAATGGCATCAAAATGTGTGAACGTTTGTGGCGGTTCTTCAGTTCGCGAACATTGCTTCACGAACCATGAACCGGCCAAAATTCATGATGAACTTTAGTTCATCAGCCAGTTTGCGTCCATCCTTGTTCAGGAGTTGAGACCAATGCTCCCTCTTAAGCTGTGGGGTCTTGTGAGCAAAAATTCTCCTTTGTGAGCTACTGGCATTAAAGTTGTAAACAAGCGATTTGGCTACTGCATAAATTAGTTTGCTCTGGAGCCATCCTTCCGGAGCTAAGACAAAAATGTGTGAGCTGGAGGCTAAAAAACTGTGAGTTAACTCACACCAGCTCAGCTTAGAGGGAACACTGGTTGAGACTCATCTCAATAAACCAAATCACTTTATGTACTCCGTTTATAGTGAAAGCCAGAGACAACCGTCAATTCCCATAACCTAAGGAGGGTTTCCCCATACATACAAGGATAAAGCCAGCCTAATTATATGGCAGCCGCTTACAGCAAAGGGATGCTGTAACCCAATACAGTTTTCTCACAACTTTCAAATAATTGATATTATTATTATTGTGCTGGCCACAAATAATTGTTTCAAGGTCAAACCTTTAAGGGGTGGCACTGAGCCACAGCTCCTCCATAGGCTGTGAAG